AAATATGGTACAATTTAGTACTAAATATTGTACAATTTAGTACTAAATATAGTATGGTAAGTACGATTTAAAGGTCATTGACCCCGGATTAGGCCTAATCCGGATTAAAGATCATTGACCCGGGATTAAGGTTTAAACCGGATTAAAGGTCATTGACCACGGATTAAGGTCTAATCTGAGTTAACGGATTAAAGGTCATTGACCCCGGATTAAGGTTTAATCCGGATTAAAGATCATTGACCCCGGATTAAGATTTAATCCGGTTTAAAGGTTTAATCCGGATTAAAGGTCATTGACGCCGGATTAAGTATTAATCCGGTTTAAGGTCATTGACCCCGGATTAAGTATTAATCCGGTTTAAGGTCATTGACCCGGATTAAAGGTCATTTACCCCGGATTAAGGCCTAATCCGTGTTAACGGATTAAAGGTCATTGGCCCCGGATTAAGGTTGAATGCGGATTAAGTCTGAATCCGGATTAAGGCTTAATCCGGATTAAGAGCGTAATCCGGATTAAGAGCGTAATCCGGATTAAAGGTCATTGACCCCGGGTTAAGGTTTAATCCGGATTAAAGATCATTGACCCCGGATTAAGACTTAATCCGGTTTAAAGATTTAATCCGGATTAAAGGTCATTGACCCCGAATTAAGTATTAATCCGGTTTATGGTCATTGACCCCGGATTAAGGCCTAATCCGTGTTAACGGATTAAAGGTCATTGGCCCCAGATTAAGGTTTAATCCGGATTAAGTCTAAATCCGGATTAAGGCTTAATCCGGATTAAGGACGTAATCCGGATTAAAGGTCATTGACCCCGGATTAAGGCTTAATTCGGATTAAAGACTTAATCCGATTAAAGGTTTAATCCGGATTAAAGGTCATTGATCCCAGATTAAGGCTTAATCCGGATTAAAGGTCATTGACCCCGGATTAAAGGTCATTGACCCCGGATTAAAGGTCATTGACCCCGGATTAAAGGTCATTGACCCCGGATTAAAGGTCATTGACCCCGGATTAAGGTACCTCATTAAGCTTTAATCCGGATTAAGCCTTAATCCGGGGTCAATTACCCTTAACCCGGATTAAGCCTTAATCCGGGGTCAATGACCTTTAAATTCGTACTTATTGGTACAATAAGTACCATATTTACTAAAATCCGGATTAAGCCTTAATGTACAATTTAGTACTAAATTGTATCATATTTAGTACTAGATTGTACCATATTTAGTACTAAATTGTACATATTTGTGCTAAATTTGACACTATTTAGAATGGTACGAAATATTCTACAATTTAGATATATATGAACGGATAGGGCTGGATCGTGAAATTTTTGATTAATGTTACTGTTGGAGTGTAGAATTAAGGAAGTTTTGGAAAATCGATCTTACGTCTACGAAAAGTAATAAATGGTACTAAATTTGGTACAATTTGAAGGGTGGTGAACGGATAGAGCTGGAAACCTTCAATGTGGACTTAAGATTATTATTAAAGGCATGAATGAGTTTTTTTTTGGAAATTCCTATTGGTACGTACTAATTATGGTACAATCTTAATTTTGGGTATGAAAAATATACGATAGTATTAAATCCAGTACAAATTGGATTTCAATGAACAGATAGAGGTGAAATTCTTCAATTTGGACTTGCATTGCCGTTTGAAAGCATTATTGAGGTAGTTTTTTATATACGCACTTTTAAGTACGAAAAGTACTAAATTTGGTACAATCTGGAGTTTAGAAGAATTAAGATTACTTACTTAAGATTATAGTGTAAACCCGTTTTTGCTTATATCGTTGGTTTAAAGTATACTTCGCAACCTCAAACGCTGTACCATAATTCCACGTAACTGTTGGTAATGGTGGAGGGTACCAAAATTACCTTTTCACATGTTATCTTTAATTTAACCAACCATTTCATACCTCCCTCGTTAAAATAAGTCATTTTTTATTATCTTTAAGATTGATTGCATTTTTCACGGACAAATAAAGAACAAAAAAATGTATAGGTGCTGGTATTCCCAAATGCGAGGCAGCAACAGCAGTTGAGACTGTCAGCAGCTAGCAGGATATATTAAGGATATGTAATAGAAATTCCAGGCAATATAAGTAGTATGGAAATTGTTAAGCGTGTGTATGTCGTTGTTGGTGTAGAATTTTCCTTAACAATGTCATGAAAGAAAGCAAAAAATGCAAATTATCAAGACATTGTTTGAATGTGTTGTGGGTGGGTGCATTCAAAACCATTGAATATGGGAATGTGGAAAAGAATGGATGAATGCATACATAGAAGGAACAAATTCAGTTTGACGTACAACATGTAGGTTGGTGCATGTGCAGTTCATTTGTCATTTTACACAAAAATAAAACTACTCAAGTAGCTCTTCTGTAAGGTTGCTCTTAAGGTGGCGTGGCTACACAAAAGAGAATCTCATGATCGTCATTGTCAGGTTGTTGTTTGAAAGGCGGCTGTTGCTAAAGATAGCAATGTTAGTTCTAGTATCATTACGTTGCATATATGCATACGTATGATATATGAACGTAACGATATGTATGTATGTGTAAAAATATGGTAGGATAGATTTCTTTTAGCTCTTTCATCATTGCCTCTGTTATAATATCACCTCCCAAACACCTTTTCTGTCACCCTTTGTCTTTCTATCTCTCTCTCTTCTCTTTCTTCCTTCCAGTGTCAATATTTGATTTTCAAGTGTAATTCAATTTGGTATCCCGTAATGTCATTCAATTGAATGCCAACTATTCACGTTGCAACAGAGCCTTACAATTGTGCACTTGTAGCTGTCGTCTCAAAGCCCCAATGAGAGAAAAAGGAGGAGTACGAGGAGGCGGAACAAAAAGACCGACATCGTTGATGATGTAAAACAAGTAGACCATCAATTGAGCATTGCATAGTCAATATTGATTTTGTAAATTGTACCTTTGTGTATTTGTATGGTTGTGTGTGTGTGAGAGTTTCACATCCTTTTATTCTTGGTTACATACCATGAATGCCATTATAAGTCTTCTGTACTCATTTTTACTTACATTTCAAGACGTCATGTAACTGTTGGCTGAACTTAAAAAGGGCGTATTTAAGAAGCATTCTGACTACTTGTATGGTGTTAATGGCCAATTTTACACCCTACAGTTTGATGTAGGATTTTCATATTAAGGTTTTTTGTTGGTGACTTACGAATTTGTAACATGATGGGAACAAATTGGGATGACAACTGTAAAAAGTCTTCCTTTTCTTTCTTCCTTTCCACAGACGTGAATTTTTTTGATGTTTTAAATATCATGATTTTTAAAACGTTATTTTTGAAGGGTCTTTATGGTCACAGTCGTGACCATTTCAAATTATTTTTGAAGGACCTTAAAAACCACAGGTGTGAATTTTTTAAACATTATTTTAAGGAAATTTAAGGATCAAGGCGTGGATTTCTTAAGAATTATTTTTAAAGGAAATTTAAGGATCAAGGCGTGGATTTATTAAAAATTATTTTTAAAGGAAATTTAAGGATCAAGGCGTGGATTTATTAAAAAATATTTTTAAAGGAAATTTAAGGATGAAGGCGAGGATTTATTAAAAATTATTTTTAAAGGAAATTTAAGGATGAAGGCGAGGATTTATTAAAAATTATTTTTAAAGGAAATTTAAGGATGAAGGCGAGGATTTATTAAAAATTATTTTTAAAGGAAATTTAAGGATGAAGGCGAGGATTTATTAAAAATTATTTTTAAAGGAAATTTAAGGATGAAGGCGAGTTTTTATTAAAAATTATTTTTAAAGGAAATTTAAGGATCAAGGCGTGGTTTTCCTAAAAAATTATTTTTAAAGGAAATTTAAGGATCTAGACATTCTCTAAGCCTTATATTGTTGAAAAGTCCTTTGATTTTGAAGATTGTTGTTTTTCGAATATATATGATGTAAAAGTGTACTGTATCACATATTCGTCTTTGCCACCTATATCACTGTTTTTTTGGTTGTTCAACTTATTCAGCCCATTTTTTTTACATTTTCCTTTATTTATGCCATATTGATATCCTGCCTATCGTTTTCAAATGTAATATTACACAAATAAGGAAAATATTTGCAATAGAAAAAACGATAGCGATATGAGCAAAAAGAGTTATTTCTTCCTTCATAGAATTTATATCCTGTCAATTCATGTTGTCGCTTTTTTCTGCTCGTTGTTACTTGTAACTTGTTTATTGATTTTATTGATCCTGTTTTCCTTTCTTTATTGCCATTCAATTTTATTTCTTGTTATTCTTAACAGAATGTCGTTCGTAATGAAATATTATTGGAAATGAAAATAACTCGTAACATGAATATAGTTATTTTTTTCTTCTCTACTGAAATATAGAATTTATTTATTTTGTTTGAGTATGCATTTTGTACAAAATGTAAGGATTAATGATAAAAAGGATATGGTCTTTCCTCTTTATTTTGCTGGAGAAATGCGATAATTTATATCAACATATTATCTTTTTATCTACAAATAACAAAATATAACCAATGCCCAGTGTGCAAGAGTTATTATTAACATCAATTTTTTTATTTGTTCATACAAAACAGCATATTCAAATATTGTAGTTTATTTGTATTGATAGCCTTGTTTTCAATGAAAATTCATGGATCATGAATTCAATTTCTTCAATAAAAAAATATATGGGTATTTTTCCAGTGACATACACATGCATACATGTGGGCATAATAATTTGTATATTGAAGTAAACAAAAGGCACCCACACATACATGTGGACATGCGTTCACCAAAATTTGTATTCAAAACCTTTGCAATATAAAAATAAACTATGGACATATTTCTTAAAAATTGTTATGCTGGTAATGTCACAACATTTCTTATTGTCGTATGTTCATTTTTTCCAGAGAATAAAACTGAAATACAAACATCATAATTCATATGTAAATTATGATGACCAGTAATAATGGGAACCAACAGAGAACCGAAAAAGCTCAACAAAAATACAATACTTACATGTATTGGTAGCCAGCAAATGGCAAAGGCCAAGACAACCACTACGACCATGCGTGTGACACGTCTTTTTCCTTTCCTGCATATCCATACATCCACACACATATATACATAGATGAGTGTCCATAACATATTTGGAACCGGGTCAATGGTATAGTTTGGAAAGATATCCATCAATCAAATATCCAAAACAGCAACAACATCAGCATTCAGCAGGCAGGCATCCATCCGGATAACCAGTCAGTTATCATGTGTGTGTATGTTTGTGGGCGACATGGGTAGACAATAATCCATTTGGAACCGGAAGCAGACATGAAATGAAATGGAAAAGAATAACAATGAAGGCATTATAACCATATGTATGTATGAATGTAAGTAGTTAGATTGTATCATTGATTGACATTCATGCAATTGAACGGAAAAATATGTAGGTGGCCCATTAGAAGGACGATATGTTAACCCTTTAAAGGCACCAAACACTCATGATGTATTTTCAAAAATTAAAAAAAATACAAGTCCATGATCCAAGAAGTCCCATTAGCCCACATTGATTATACTAGAACATAAATAGTTTTTGAAAAATGTACGTCTGCATCCTTAAACGACCTAAACAAGTAAATTCACACATTGAGCCTTAAATTTCCATTAAACCAGATTTTTATTAAATCCACGCCATAAGTCTTAAATTTCGATTAAAAATAATTTTTAATAAATACACGACTTGAGCCTTACATTTCCATTAAAAATATTTGTTAATAAAACTACGCCGTAAGCATTAAATTCCCAAAGACCCTTGAATATCCTTTAAAAATAATTTTTAAAAAATCTACGCTTGGTCCTTGAATATCCTTTAAAAATAATTTTTAATAAATCTACGCTTAGGTCCTTTAATATATCCTTTAAAAATAATTATTAATAAATCTACGCTTGGTCCTTGAATATCCTTTAAAAATAATTTTTAATAAGTCTACGCTTGGTCCTTGAATATCCTTTAAAAATAATTTTTAATAAATCTTCGCTTAGGTACTTGAATATCCTTCGAAAATATTTTTTTAATAAATCTGCGCTTAGGTCCTTGAAAATCCTTTAAAAATAATGTTTAATAAATCCATGCTTAGCACCTTAAATATCCTTTACTAATAATTTTTAATAAATCTACGCATAGGTCCTTCCATATCCTTTAATATTTTTATAATAAATCTACGCTTAGCTACTTAAATATATTTAAAAATACGTTTTGATATAATAAACATAAACATAGATAAACATTTTTGAAAGGACTTTAAAAGTTCCACTCATGGAACCTAAGAGTCCTTTCAAAATGATTTGTAAAAGAAAATCTACTCCTGCTGCATTAAGAGTCCTTTCAAAATAGGTTTTCAAAAATACACGTCTATATCTTTGAGAGTCCTTTAAACATAAGTCCATGTCGGTAGCATAAAGAGTCGTCTAAAATTTATTTTTAATAAATGCGCGTCCTTGAAAGTGTTTAAGACATTTTTTTAAAAACTCCACGATCCTTTAAAAATTCTATAAGTATAAAAATCCATATCCTTTATGTTGTTATTAACCATTAAATAAAAATCACATCGTTATTGTCATTGTATTTTTTAAAGAACTAAAATTTCAAAACTTTACCCTCTATTTAAATTTTATCCTTCCAATCTCTCTCTCCCTTTTAAAAATATATCCTAAATATTCACTTTATTAAACCATTCTTTGTAACAAAACTTAATATTTCACGTGCCAATCTTGTGGGCCGGTAATCTGTTATTCCCAGAGATGGCTTCAAAATTGATGTATTTCAATTTGTGCTAAATTCTCTGGGGCATGTGTTTGTATGGGTGTGTGTGTGTGTTTGACAAGGTAAATTTTAATTAGTTTTAAAACAGTATCATGCTGCCATACACCAGACTTAATGTTTGGCCTTATGACTATGACAAGAGAGACTGTTAACTTGTCATTTACCTTTCATGGGAATTTTAGTAATTTAAACGTTACGGTAATTATTTGACAGGAATAGAAGGTTACAACGTAACAAACATTAGGGTGGCTAATCAGTTGTCAAAATGTCAATCTTTGAAGTGTGTGGGAGAAGGGGAACTTATATTTAACGAAAACGAAATGGTATTTCAAAATTGAAAGTAGAGTTTTAAGGTCTAAGAATCTTCACAAATTATAGTTTTTAAATCAGCGATTGTAATATTTGATTATTTTTTAAACTAATTGACAGCAACACATATCCTTTAAAAATATTAAAAAACAAACTTATTTTAAAAATAATTGTTATAAAATCAATGCATTAGTCCTTAAGATTCCTTGAAATCCTAAAAAATAATTCGAAATATCATTAAATGTCATTTAAAAATAAATTTAATAAAATCTATGGCTTTGACCTTAAATGCCCTTTAGAAATAATTTTTAAAAAATCCGTGGCTTTGTCCTTATATGTCCTTTTTTAAAAAATCCACACCTGAGGCCTTATATGCCCTTTAAAAATATTTTTTAAAAAATCCATGCCTGAGGCCTTCAATGTTCTTAAAACAATAATTTTTAAGTAATCCACGCCTGAGGCCTTAAATGTCCTTAAGATATAATTTTGAAAAAATCTACGCCTTATGCCTTCAATGTCCTTAAGATATAATTTTAAAAAAATCTTCAATGTCCTTAAGATATAATTTAAAAAAAATCTACGCATTATGCCTGCAATGTCCTTTAGAAATATTTTTTAATAAATCCACTTTAGAAATAATTTTTAAAAAATCCACGCCTTATGGCTTAAATGACCTTTAGAAATATTTTTTTAAAAATCCACGCCTTATGGCTTAAATGACCTTTAGAAATATTTTTTAAAAATCCACGCCTTATGGCTTAAATGTCCTTTAGAAATATTTTTTAAAAAATCCACGCCTTATGGCTTAAATGTCCTTCAGATATAATGTTTAAAAAAATTTCCTTAAATGTCCTTTAGAAATAATTGTTAAAAAATCCACGCTTTATGGCTTAAATGTCCTTTAGAAATAAGTTTTAAAAAGCCCATGCCTGAGGCCTTAACTGTCCTTTAGAAACAATTTTTAAAAAATCCACGCCTGAGGCCTTAAATGTCCTTTAGAAATAATTTAAAAAAAATCCACGTATTATGGCTTAAATGTCCTTTAAAAATAATTTTTAAAAATTTTCGTCTGAGGCCTCAGCCCTTGAATGTCCTTCAGAATTTATGTTCAAAAAATCCATGCCTCTTAAAAATTCTGTTTAAATTCCGTAAAGATATTTTTGGTTAAATGTTTTTCTAAAAATTTTTCTTAAATCTCTCCGATTGTCCATAACTCTTTCCTTCCCTTCGAGAATCCCTTTTTCTAATACCTTTTGTAATTTCCAAAACCTCACACTACCACAACCAATAAACTCATGAAAAAGAACTTTCCCCATGTATTTGTTCAACTAATTACAATTAGTTTTTCTAATCGTGTTTGTGTTGGTGCGTGCAACGCATCAGGGTCACCGTTCTCGCTGATAGCGGTGGTTGGGGTGCAAAATGTCTTCTTCTTTGCCCCCTTTGCCTTGTTGATGTGTTTTATGTGGCCATGGTTATTTATCTATTTTTCCTAGCTTTGGACTACGACCATCATAGTGACAGCAAACGTGAAAGCTGATAAAAACAGGGACACTTACCGTGACTCAGCCGAGGGTTTGCAGCCGGGCGCACTCTTCCATAAACGTGCCAGCATGCCCATATACAGGAAACATATTAACGTCAATGGGGCCACGTACGATGACAGGAAGAATGAAAGCTGCAAATAAAAACAAGAAAATAGACAACTTAAACACAAGACCGGTAAAAGGGGCGAGTCGAAGTGTGTATCCGGGTGTGTGTGTGTATGTGTGGGAGGCGTATAATAAATGCCACAACATGAAAATGAATGAACGTTGAAATGGGAACCCAAGCAAATACGATAAACACGCACTTGTTGCTCCACAAACAGAAGTGTTATAAACACACAGATAAACACATATATATATATATACAAAGACACAAGGATGTTGGTTGTTTTGGTTCGGCTTGGTCGGTAGGTTCGTTCGTTCTGTTGTTAATGGTATGAATATTTATAAGTACTAAATGTAAATATGTACTTGTGTAGTGTCGCTGTCATTGTGTTTGTGTTGGCGTTTAGGTGTGAACAGATGATACCCCGTTTTATGCACTCTGTCGCCTATAAAGATGTGTGCGTGTGTGTGTCTGCATACACTATATACAGAATAACTAAATTAATACAGTGACTAACAAAAGTATGCGTCTGTGGCATACAAAATGCCATGACTTAATATTAATTACATCTGGCTGACAATGACAGATGGAGATGTGAAGCGGTCGGCTACGTACAGTCATGCTGATGGATGTTGCTTTGCTGCGGCTTATTTGTGGGACATTTATCAACAAAACTACTAGGGCCTACAATAGTTGTGACAAACGGCTACTGGATTAGCATTTTAATGACTTTATATACTATTTGAGAGGAAACGGGTGAGAGGGCGAAGGATGTTTGAGGAATTTAAATAGCCATAGACTAATTAACACTGTAAAATTAATTTGGAGAATTACGTGGATGAAATACAAATGAAATAAATTACTTAAACTTAAATAAATTTACGCATGCGACTCAGATTTAACATAACGTTTTAATAAATCGACGTCTTGTCACTTAAACATCGATCAAAATATAATTTTAAATAAATCCACTTCTTGCGACTTAAATTAGCTTTAAATATAATTTTTAATAAGTCCACGCCTTGTGCCTTAAATTTTGGCATTAAATGTCCTTAACAAATTCACGCCTTAGGCCTTAAATGTTCTTTAAAAATATTATTTAGAAATAAGGCCTTAAATGTCCTTTAGAAATAATTTTTAAAAAATCCACGTTAAAACCTTAAATGTCCTCTAGAAATAATTTTGGAAAAATGTATTTTAGAAATAATTAAAAAAAACACGCCTTTAAAACATCCACCCTTGGGCCTTAAATGTCTTTTAGAAATAATTTTTAAAGAACCACACCTAAGGCCATAAATGCCCTTTAGAAATAATATTTAAAACATGCACGCATTAGGCCTTGAATGCCCTTTACATATAATTTTTAAAAAAATCCACACCTTTAAATAATCCTTTAGACACAATTTTAAAAAAACCCACGCATTTAAAACATCCACTCTTTGGCCTTAAATGTCCTTTATAAATAATTTTTAAAAAACCCACGCATTTAAAACATCCACTCTTTGCCCTTAAATGTCCTTTATAAATAATTTTAAAAAAATCCACGCATAGGGTATTAAATGTCCTTTAGAAATATTTATTTAAATATCCACGCCCAAGGCCTTAAATTTCCTTTATAAATAATTTTTAAAAAATCCACGCCTTTAAAACATTCACTCCTGAGGCCTTCAATATCCTTTAGAAACAAATTTTTAAAATTCCACGTCCTTAAAACATTCACGCTTGAGGCCTTGAATATCCTTTAGAATCTAATTTTTAAAATTCCACGTCTTTGGCCTAAAGCATCCTTTAGAATTAGTTTTTAAAATTCCACGTCCTTAAAGCATTCGCGCCTGAGGCCTTGAATATCCTTTAGAAACTAATTTTTAAAATTCCACGTCTTTGGCCCAAAGCATCCTTTAGAATTAGTTTTTAAAATTCCACGTCTTAGGCCCAAAAATTCCTTTAGAAATAATTTTTAAAAATCCACGCCTTAGGCCCAAAACTTCCTTCAGAAAATATTTTTAAAAAATCCACGCCTTAGGCCCAAAACTTCCTTTAGAAAATATTTTTACAAAATCCAAGCCTTAGGCCCAAAACTTCCTTTATAAATAATTTTTAAAAAATCCACGCCTTAGGCCTTAAATGTCCTTTATAAATAATTTTTAAAAAATCCACGCCTTAGGCCTTAAATGTCCTTTATAAATAATTTTTAAAAAATCCACGCCTTAGGCCTTAAATGTCCTTTATAAATAATTTTTAAAAAATCCACGCCTTAGGCCTTAAATGTCCTTTATAAATAATTTTTAAAAAATCCACGCCTTAGGCCTTAAATGTCCTTTATAAATAATTTTTAAAATATAGCCTTTTCTTCACTTCACCGCAGAACGCTTTTTATTTTTTGTTTTATTTAGTTTTATTTCACTTTTTGCTAATTTTAAGGTAAGTATATTTTCTCTTCACAGGTAAGTATAAGGTAAGGTAAGTATAGTTATGTGCAAAATTAATATATTTACAGGTAAGTATAAGGGTTGTCTTAAAGGTAAGTAATTTATATACAAGGTAAGTGTAACTTTTTATATTCAAGGTAAGTACAATTTTTTATGAATTTTAACTTTTTTCAAAACTTTTCAACTTAGGTGATTTCACTTTTAACTCGGCGGGGGTGTAGCAACGATCGCTTTTAACTTTCAAACTTCGAATGAATTCTTCTTTTATACAGCTAGCCTGTTTGTAACTGTGACGTTTCCAGTGCTGAATGGAATTAGACAAAAAAGAAGAAAAACAAAACAACAACACACGTTGCATTATTAATGCACGTGTGTGTGTGTTTGTTTTCGCATTTTTTGCATCCCGCTATGTTACAGTGATGTGCTATTTAAATAGCACATACACTTTGGGTCAAAATTTTAGCATACCGTATTTTTTTTAATTTTGGGTACATTCATGTACATGCCTCCCCCGCCGTGATATCTGTGAATGATAAAAATAAATAGTTTTAATTAGATGGCATATTTCTAATTGGACCAGAAAATACATATCCCAGTTTTGTCTGGAACGCCTGGACATCGCCAATTCCTGCAGAAGTACAGCCATCTTGCCGTATTGCACAGTATGTGTCGGCGCCCAATTCTATGTCTATGGGGATGTTGCTACGAGGGTCTGGGTCAGCGAGAGCTTGTTGATTAAAATATGATGTAGGGTCTTCTATTAAAGGGTCCGAGTAGGGTCTGCGTGGCAATTCGTCGGTGATCAAGGCGTTGACTTTCAAAGCCCAAGTGTTGTTGTTTTGTCTGGCCATGATCTTGAATGTTGTAAATCGGTGGTTCTGGTGCGTGAATGATCGCAAACCAAGTCTTTGGAACGTTGAGTATCCAATCTTGGACATGGTTGCCGACTGACAAATAAGTGCCCTTACAGTCTTCCAAGAATCGACACTTTCGGCTACAACACGCACCAGAGCAGTTGGAACAAACACCAGGTCCCATGTAAATGGTGCTACAACGATTGGTGCTTGTTGTAATGAATTTTCCAACTGCGGAGCCCCATGTAGTAAGGTGTGGTGTCTGTAATCGCACCTTCTACAACCAGTCAAGCTCGAACAATCGGGGGCTAGGTGACTCCTTGCCAGGCAGTTTCGGCAGTACCCTCTTCGTTCTACCGTTTCGTAGCGTTGGTATGGAGTTTGCTCACGAAACCTGGGGCATGTATTTATGGCATGATCGTCTTGACATAGCCCACAGGAATATTGCCAGAAACTGGGCCGCTCTCTTCTACTCTCTCGCTGACCAGACCTGCTTCTGGATTGTTGCCGTCTTCTGGGTGGCTGCTGCTGCTCGTCGCGCCTGTTATTGGGGGATCGTTCCTCTTCTTCCCAGTCCCGGTTTGGTAGATAGGCAGCCATATCTGTAATTGAGGAGAAGGGAGTACCAAGTTTTATAATAAAAGGGGGTCCGACTAGTCAGTCGGAAAATAATTTGACAACTTTTGTTATGGGTCGACTAGTTACTCCAATGGAAGTTTTTATATCTACGACTCTTATGTTTTGATCCACCCCTTTGTATGTTTTTATAATTCTTCCTAATCTCCATTCAGTTGGCGCTAAGCGATCATCTTTGATAACCACTAAATCCCCTTCCTTTAAATTGTCTTTTTGATATTTCCATTTATATCTTCTATGTAATTCATTTAAGTATTCATTTTTCCATCTATGACAAAAGTGTTGTGAAATAATTTTAAGCCGTTTCCAGCGATTGGCATGAGAAATCTCTGTGTCGGAAATATCTGGTTCGGCTGGTGCTAGCAAAGGCGTACCAATGAGAAAATGAGCTGGGGTTAGTGGAGCTATTTCACTTGGGTCGTCACTAGCAGGACTCAAGGGTCTTGAATTGAGGCAAGCCTCTATGCGAGCTAATATTGTACTAAATTCTTCAAAGGTAAAATTAAGTTTTGGAATGCTTTTTCGTAAATGAATCTTAAAGGATTTTACTCCGGCCTCCCATAATCCACCCATATGAGGAGCACCGGGAGGAATAAATTTCCATTCTAGATTTTGATGGGCATTTTGATTGATGATTTGTGTTGTAAGATTTTTCATAAATTCAGCTTTATCTTTTTTAAGAGATTCAGAGGCACCTACAAAATTTGTACCATTATCTGAATATATGCAAGCGGGACAACCTCGTCGTCCAATGAATCGAGCAAATGCACTCAAAAATGATTGTGTTGAAAGATCGCTTGTTGGTTCTAAATGTATTGCTTTGGTAGCGAAGCATATGAAAACATACACATAACCTTTCGTAATTAAACAAGCTCGACCAGTGAAACTTTTTATATTAAAGGGTCCTGCAAAGTCAACCCCTGTGTTATGAAAGGGTCGTGAAAGATATGTTCTTTCTGGTGGAAGAGAAGCCATAATTTGAGTTTGGTTGGTTTTTCTGTATAAGGTGCATGTGTTACAACGATGAATTATCTTTTTGACTAAGATTTTTAATTTGAATATCCAGAATTCTGAGCGAAGTACTCGAGTCACGAGTTGATTTCCGCCATGTAGAGTTATTTTATGTGTAAATTCAACTAATAATTGTGATAATTTGGAAAAATAAGGCAGTAAAATTGGATGTCTCTCATTGTATGTTAAAGCGGGTGATTGTACAAGGCGACCATTTGCTCTAATAAGGCCATTCGAGTCAATAAACGGGTTCAGAGTTAGAAGACAACTGTTCGGAGGAAGTTTTGATTTATTCTGTAGTAATTTATACTTATTTTCGAAATAATATTTTTGAGTAACAATTATAACTAGTCTTTTATTATTCTGCATTTCTTCAAAAGTAAGATCAGATGAAACCCTTAAGTGTCTTCTATTTACATCGGTGTTTCTCCAAAACCGCATGGCATAAGCATATGCTCTAAACGCTCTTTACGAAAAAAAGATAAGTTTTTGAGTGGGTCATTTTTTATAAGTTCTATCTTAGCATCTGCAGTTATAGTGGTAAGAGTAAGAACTTTAACTGATTTCATTTCTAGATTTGTATCTTCTGGTATATTATTCGATGGCCAGCTGGATTTTGGAAATTTCAACCACTGCGGTCCGTGCCACCATAAATTATTGGTTTGTAAATCGTTTGGAGAACATCCTCTACTGGCGACATCAGCGGGATTGGCTTCAGAGTCAACATGACGCCATCTTTCAATGCCAACATTTTCAGTAATTTCGGAAATTCTGTTTCCTACAAATGTGCTCCAATGGCACGGAGGTTTTTTGAGCCAGGCTAAAACAATTGTAGAGTCAGTCCAATAATGCATTTCGATATTTGGGATTTGAATATTGTTTTTAATGGATGAAGCCAATTTTGATAAAAGTACAGCTCCACAAAGTTCGAGTCGAGGCAAAGAAATCTTTTTTATTGGTGCAACTCGGGTTTTGGCGGCTAAGAGAAATGTGTCAACTTCATTATTGCTGCTTTGAACCCTAATATACAAAGCCGCGCCGTATGCGCTTTCAGATGCATCACAGAATCCATGAACTTCAATTTGACTCGTTGGGATGTATTTTACCCATCTTGGAATATTTATAGCATTAATTGAATTTGAATTTTTAACAAAGTTTTGCCAATTTATTGATGTTATCGGAGCAAGAGTGTCATCCCAATTTATTTTGTCTAACCATATCTGTTGCATAATTAATTTAGCTACGACGATTATTGGCGCTAACCACCCACACGGGTCGAATAATTTTGCAATGGTAGACAAGACTTCTCTTTTAGTGAAATTGAGTTTATTTTCTATCGAAGGTGATGTGAAAGAGAAACAATCTCCTGATATATCCCATCTGATACCTAGGGTCTTAGTAGAAGCATTTTCGGATATATCTAGCCAATTTAATGGTAAAAGTTGATCTGTAGGCAAATCTTGAATTATTTTGGGCTCATTTGAAGTCCATTTTCTTAATTGAAACCCTGCAGATCCAAAGGCAGCAATTAGTTCCTTTCGTGAGTCTATTGCTTCTTTTATCGAATGACCTCCCGCTAGGACGTCATCAACATATAGATTTTGTAATATAATTTTAGCAGCTTTAGGATATGTTTCTTTTATATCTTCAGCGAGTTGTAAAAGAGTTCGAAGGGCTAAGAAGGGTGCACAATTTACTCCGAATGTAACGGTTAAAAGTTCATAATCTTCCACAGGGTCGTTTGGAGACTTTCTGAATAATATTCTTTGGAATTTAGTTTGTTTTCTATCTAAGAGAATCTGTCGGTACATTTGAGTTACATCAGCGTTGTAAACATATTTAAAGAATCTCCATTTTAATATTTGCAAAACAAGATCTTGCTGGAGAATTGGACCCGCAAACAAATTATCGTTGAGACTTCTTTTATTTGAAGTAGGACTAGAGGCGTTAAATACTACACGGAGTTTTGTAGTCAACCGATCTGGTTTAATGACTGCATGGTGTGGTAAATAGTAGTTTGGGGTCTGATTTATTTCTTCTTGTGTTAGTTTTCTCATATGACCCAAATCTAAATATTCTAATATTGCTTTGTCATATGAGTCTTTTATATCAGGAGTCTTTAACAGTTTTTTCTCCATTCTATAAAACTGTGCGAGGGCAATGTTTCGAGAATTTCCCAATTCTTCGCAATTTTTAAAGGGTAGGGTAACTATATATCTGCCTTCTTTATTTCGTATTGTTGTTGTGATATAGTTTTGCTCACAGAATAAGTCATCTTCTGACCGCAAAACTCTTTTTGGGGGCTCTTCCACCTCCCAAAAACGTGTAATTATCTTTTCTATAGCAGTTGTGTTAAACAAGGAAATATTATTATGCTTTCGAGTACTTTCGGGTATTGGACCACCAATTATCCAACCAAATACTGTATTTTGTGCTAAAAATGGACCAAGAGATTTCATAGGGGTCCCAATTTTGAATATGAGAGGACCTATATCCATTCCTATGAGAAGATCAACAGGTTGACTTATGTGGAAATTGGGATCTGCTAAATGGAGACCAATTATATTTGTGAGTTTATTATTTTCAATGTTTTGTGGAGGTAAATTAGATGGGAGGGTCTTTAATACTGGCGCCCATACATCTAATTCAAAGCTAGGGTCTAAACGAGATCGCAAAGTGAAGAGACAAGATTTTGTTGATGTTTCGGATACAATTTGGCTCAATCCTGTAACATGAACTAGGTTTTTCTTGGTAGGCAAATTCAATTTGTTTTTAAGTTTTTCTGATATAAACGTAGATTGTGAGCCAGGGTCGATAATTGCTCGGGCATCGTATGATTGTCCTCTGTATTCGATTTGAACGACAGCAGTGAAAAGCAAGGTTGAACTAGGGTTATGTTCGCAAATTCTATGTTCTTGTAGGGTCAAGGTTGTAATATTCGCAGGTTCTGTGGACTGTATAATATTTGTGAGAGCTGAAGCACTAGTACTAGGGCGTACTTCATCTCGAGCAAAGTTTTGTTGTTGGGTTTCCGTTCCCTTATGCAGCATCGAGTGGTGTCTCATATTGCAGTTTCGACATCCAAAACGACTTTTGCATTCTCTAACGCCATGATTTGACGAAAGACAATTATAACAAAGATGTGAAATTTTTACTGTGTGAATTCTGTCGTTCACTGATTTCTCTATAAATCGAGGGCAATCTTTAATAAAGTGATTTGATTTGCAAAGTGGACAATTTTGTACTGTTTGAGTCTTGGAATGTGGATTCGAAGTTTGTTTATTCGTTTTACCCCCCTGTGTTTGAGTATTTTGCCATGTATTAGTTTGAAAGCTATTGGTGAATTTTAATTTTTTACTGTGTTCTAAATTTTGTTGAGTATATTTTGGGTTTGTTGGTTTGATATTTCCAACAGATTCTAGGGTTTTGAATTTGTTGGTCAAATAATTATTGACCTGTTCCCAAGTGGGCAAAGTTTTGATATCTTTTAAAGTATTTTCAAATTCTTCCAAGAAATGACGAGGTAATTTAGTGGAGCAAAGATAAATAAGTATTGGGTCCCAACCTTTTATGTCTACATCAAGTGTTTCTAGGATTTGAAGACAACTATTTACTGTACGCTGTAGCTTTTGTATTGTGCAACTTGAGTCTGATGTGACGTTGGGTAAATTAAACAGAATTTTTATTTGTTCGTTGACCTGCATCCTTTTGTTTTCGTATCGCTCTGTAAGATTTCTCCACGCTAACTCAAAACCATCATTAGTAAGTGGAACGTGTCTAATAATCTCTCTCGCTTCTCCTGTCGTCTTTTGTGTCAAATGGAAGAGTTTCTCCACATTGCTCAGTTTCGTATTTTGGATATATATCGCTGAAAATAGGTCTCGGAACGTGGGCCATTCAGTATATCCTCCTTTGAATGTATCTGTGTCGCACGGCGGTAATCTGGACACTGACGTAAATTCAGGTGATATTCCTGACTCCTTTTTTGTTTTATCTTCCATTTGTTTATCCTTGATTGTCTGAATTTCCTCGTTTAATGAACTTAAAGAAGTTTTATAACCTTCCATGGCTTCTCTGTAACGAGTCCTGAGTTTTGTCTTGTCGATTGTGATTTCTCCTTCCTGTGGTACATGATCACGACACTCGAAATATGCCTTCTTGACTTGGTCCCATAATGAGTCTAACTCCACTCGAATTATTTCCAAAGTGAAAATGTTGTTATCTGACTTCTTTGCTGACGATACTTCTGTAAAATCCAAAAGATCTGTGACGCAATTCTTGAATTTTTCACATTTGATCTTATCCATGGTTAATTATGAGTCTGGTATTTCTTAACAAATTTTTGAAATGACCAAAAAGAGTAGAAAATAACTCACAAAATAGTTATTTGTTGGTTATTGCAATAATTAATTTTTTTTACAAAAATTAAATTGCCAATTTCCAATTTCGGATTGGAAAATTTAGAAATTTCGCTAAAAATGAGGTTAGATTTTTCAAAGCCAAGTAATTTCGGGTCTGTTGAAGAGAAATTCCAACAAAAGAGCAAATATTTTTTCTTTAAATTTGGTATTGAGGAAACAACAATATAAATTTTTAAAACAACGAAGAAATTAGTAAATGTTTGTACCAATTAACAAACATTTGAGATCGCAAATAATTTTTTTGTATTTTTCCAATCAATTTAGAGAAGAATTATGTGTCAAGTTTGATTTTGGAGGATTTAATATTTTTAGAGCAATTCGGGTCAACGAATAAATTTCTTCCAAAATATTTTTAAAATCTGTAGAATTTGAACCAACCAACCAATCAAATTACAGATTAATAAAAAATTTTGTCTGTCCAATGTAAGACACCCTTTGCGAGGGAATTGAATCTTATTTAAATTGCTTACAGAAATTTCCATAAAATGTTCCAAGCAATATGGCGTTGATAAATGTGTGCTTTCAAAAATATGTGTGTATGTACAATTTTCCCAATTTACAAAAATAGTTTTTTCCAAAGATGTGTATATATTTTCCCAAAGCTTCCAATTATTTTTTAAAAAAAATTCCAATTTTTTTTTAAAAAAAATTCCAATTTTTTCCAAAAATTCCAAATATTTTCCCAAAAATGTTTCCAATAATTTTCCAAAATGTGTTTTCCAAAATGTATTCCAAAAATGTTCTAGGAGTTCCAAAAATTTTCCAAGATTTCCATAAAAATTTTCCAAAAATTCCAAAAAATTAAAATGTATTTTTTTCCAAAAAGTTTTAGTATCTTTCCACAAGATTTCGAATGATTTCTCCCAGCGGTCAAATTTTTTCCAAAAATTTCCATACAAAAATGGCGGATTGTGTCTTTTATAAATGCAATTTTTCTAGGTTATATGTATGTAAAGGGTCTCGCATGTGGATGTAAGAGTCTAAATATTTTGAATTTTTCACCATAGGATGCACGAGGGTCCAAGAATAAATGTTTTCCCTTTTGTGTCTTTCCGGTGTACTCTTCAAAATATTTGCCTTTATAAAGGTGTCAAATTATTTTTAATTTCGAACCAACGAAATGCCAGGGTCCATAAAATGTCTTCCCTCAGCGTTTTTCCAGGTTCTTGATAAAAAATTTCAGGTGGGTACTCACTTTGATGCTTTTGTATGGGGTTTGGGTCTCTTTATTGGGTTTTGTTTCTTACGTCCGTCCGTCCGCTTTCCCTTTTTTCCAGCAGCAGGTTATTTAGTTTGTTTTGTTGTTGTACCGAACCGTGCTCGCGTTTATTGTTGTTGTAGTTTGTAGAAATTGTTTAGTAATGTTCACTAATTTGTTTTTGATTTTGTTAATTTATTTATGCTTCTTTAATTTCTGTTCACTTTGTTTCACTGTTTTTGTTGTATTTTTTAATTATTATATTTTTCAAAATTTGTTTCCAAAAAAAAATTTTTTCTCTCTTTTTTCCAAATTTTCAATTTTTTTTGTTAATTTTCTCAATTTATTTGTTGTTTAATTTGGTTTCACTCGGTTTTCTTCAAAAATTTTTTGTAATTTTTTTTTCAAATTTATTTTCACCACTTTTTGTTTTAATTTTCTAATAATTTTTTCCACAATTTTTTTTTTAAAGTTGAATTTTTTTTATATTTTTCAATTTTTTACAAAATTTTCACCAAAATTGTTTTCCACAGAAATTTGGTTTTTTTTTCAAGATTTTCGTAAAGGTTAAGTTTTTTCTCTTAACCCAGCACTTATTCGGCTCGATTGGACCAAAATGTTTGATACTTAGCCTTTTCTTCACTTCACCGCAGAACACTTTTATTTTTTTGTTTTGTTTAGTTTTATTTCACTTTAGCAAATTATAATTTAATATTCACAGGTAAGTATATACAATGGTAAGTATATTATGTTTAGAATAATTTAATATTCAAAGGTAAGTATTATTCAAAGGTAAGTATAAATTTTTATGAATTTTAACTTTTTTCTCTTTAAACTTTTCCACTTAGGTGATTTCACTTTTAACTCGGCGGGGGTGTAGCAACGATCGCTTTTAACTTTCAAACTTCGAATGAATTCTTCTTTTTTGTCAACGTCACAGCTAGCCTGTTTGTAACTGTGACGTTTCCAGTGCTGAATGGAATTAGACAAAAAAGAAGAAAAACAAAACAACAACACACGTTGCATTATTAATGCATGTGTCTGTGTTTGTTTTCGCATTTTTTGCATCCCGCTATGTTACAGTGATGTGCTATTTAAATAGCACATACACTTTGGGTCAAAATTTTAGCATACCGTATTTTTTTTTAATTTTGGGTACATTCATGTACAATTACAATATTATTATCTCGGTATATTCTACTTTATAATCTTTATTAGATTTTTGTGACATATACAATTTGTAATTCATATAAAAATATTTTTAATAATGATTTCAATTTATATAATAACAAAAATTAAATTCTTCAATAATTTTTCCAACCACCAAAATGTACACACAATTTTGTTCGGTACTGTTCTGTTTTCTCTCACACATACTAACGCATTTTAATTTTGGGCACCTATGGTAGGCAGCTACTTTAAAGTATACTGATGGGCTTCATTGCTGTTGGTTCGTTTCCGTTGGTCTGTTTGTAGCGCGTTAGCCGCTCACTCAACACGTCTTGTGTTTTATTCCCTTTTGTGCGGTATTCGTTATTCGCCACTGCACATTGGGTACGTTGCAAAAACTGTGAATTTTTATAAATAATTTTTTAAAACTATTTAATAAAAAATTGTTGTTATATTTGTTGGTCTATGGTAGATTTTTGGACTTTTTAATAAAAAGTATCATACTTTCGGCATTTTACAAGCACATTCAAAGCATTAATATGTGGTTATTAAAAACCCTTTTTGGGCATTTTTATTGAAAATTTTGTATTTTTTTGCGAACAAAATATTTATTTGATCTTTCACCAAAATTTATTTGGCTTAAAAATTTTACGTAGTATGTTCACGCCAGATTTCCCACCCCAGATAGCTTTCAAATTCAGTTTTTCATTTCGCTGAGAGAAATTCTCTTTGTACTAAAAAGTGAACTTTATGTGCTCTCACTGCATGTTAATGATCGATTTTCTTTTCAATAAATCACTGGTTAACTAAGCATTAACCATTACTGTTGTCCTTGGTAAGCGGTCGTTCCTATACGAAAAATTAAATAAAGAACCATTATTGTTTTTTCCACCAAACTAAAACATTGCATTTTCCCTTTTTCTTTTCCTTTCATTTACTTCCATTTTCTCTTGGTGATAATTGTGAGGGAAATATTTCCACTATTGAAATATTTTCGAGGTTCACAGCAACAAACCGACCAGCCCAGTTTCCCCGTGAAGATTCCCACGGTGATAGAATTATTCGTTGTTTTCTTTAGTACACAGGCACCCTACAGTCGTTCTGTTTATATGGTCGCGCAATAAAGAGTTTGCGACATATACTAATTGCTACATATACATAAGTGGGGTTGCCGATTTCCTTCGCTTTTATATATTTATAATACATCCTACTGCCGGTAGGGGTCGCTATAATATATTTTAAGGTACTTATAAAAACGAAATTCTTTCCTTATTTCTCATAAATTATTGGATTTTTTCGGGACTTTTTTCAAATATTTTAAACGTCCATCGAAGGTTGTTATTCCTATTTCTCTATACCGCCGGTATAGTCAACACTACCTTATTTCTTTCCTTTTTTAATTTTCCGAATTTTTATTTATATTTCCCAATACACTATTGTAAAATTAGCAAAGTATACTTTTCCGATTTCCATTGATACAATATTTTATAAATTACGGTATGTTGTTTTAACTTTGAAATATTTTTGATTGAGATATTTTACAACAACAATTAACAAATCAATTGTGTTTCTATTTCGCGACAGCGTGTTCGAATTCCTACATTTCCTATTGATTTGCCGTCGCGAGAACTATTTACTTTCCTATTCATCCAATTTTATCCAATACAGTTATTATTGTTGTAGAGTGCTAACAAAATAACTATTTCTCATTCCAACTGCAGTTGTTGTTTTTTTTTCCATTCCGATCGTCAACATATAAAACAACAAGCATTTCTGTTCATTTCTTTCTTTGGCCACTGCGTTTCTTTCATTGAGAACGTTGTACTAATACACTTTTTCTTTTAGTACAAGCACCCTACCATCATTCCTTACATATGGTCGCAACATAAATCGTTTGCAACATATTTCAAAAAGTTTGCAACATATTTCAAAAGTTATATAACATTTGCTATTTTCCAATTCCTGAGCAGATTCCATATTATTATTCCTTCCTTTTTATATATATAACAATTTGAAATATAATTTCCGCTCTTCATTCAGATTGTTATTCTTATTTCCATCCCATTCTTCCAATTCAACAAAGGACACTTTTCCCAATTCTATCCGAGTTCCTTTCTAACATCCAAAAATTCAGAAAATGTATCCTAAATTATTCATAGGTTCAGTCAACCGTCTTCTAGAGTTTCACACGGCCGTGCAACAGAGATTTACCAATTACTTCAGCTCACCTTATGAAAATTCACATATCGGAGCTTGAAGTGTTATGGTTTGAAGTAAAATCCTTTTACGCGAAATGCGCCGAATATTCTATAAATGGAAATGAAGTTGAAGATTCACAGCTGGAGTTTTGCTCAATTTTTCATAATGCTTCCATTATTTTTTCAACTTGCATGGCGAAACTAACCCAAGTACTTGGCCTTTTTGAGAATACACACATATCCTCAACTCTAAGTATTCCAAGTTCACAGCATTCTATGCAAAAACTTAACAAATGTACAAAATCTACAATTCAAAGCAG